CCTGCTGAAAGTGTGACAGTGTCTCTGCCACCAGGTTTTCTTATGCAGTAGTGACATGCGTTACTTGCATTCTCAACAGGCGACTTCAGGCCATTTCTGTTGCTTTCTCAACATGGCAACTTCAGGCCATTTCTAGCTTCATTGGCACAGAGTAGTTCATGCTTCTTTATAAGACAGTGATCAGTATCAGTATCACTGAATGTTAACATGCAGTGCTTATGCTTTCTGATTGGAAAGCAGCTGAATCACTACCATATGTTATTACTGTACTGAAAGGTAATCTGGGATAAACTTGGATGCTGTTCCTTGCTTAGAACCTTGGTCTTGGCATGCCGTGCTTGTTCTTAAATATAAATAGCTTATAATACAGCTGCACATGAGAATCAGAGAAAAGATTAAATATTTCTATATCAAGTGTCCAAATGGTATTGCAGCCATGAAATAGTAAAAGGATTGTATGTTGAAAACACATTGGAATGATGAAAGAAACATTTGGAGTTTTGCTACAGTGTAAAGTTAATCTGTGGCAGTGACCCATGATAGTAGCAGGACCTCCTAAAAGCATTGGTCAGACAGGTCCACTTCCTCTGCACATGTAGTTCCAGTTACTGCACCAGTTTGCTTGAGGCCTTGACCCAAGTGGTCTTGGTTTCCAAGGAAGTATGAGGTTTGCCCTGGTGCTTATTTATTCATAGGTGTGCAAAAAGAAATAATAAGGTCCCTTTAACTGCCCTGCTCTCTATGTACAAGGCCAGGCACAGCTGGGCCCAAGACCCCGTAAAATACAGGCAGTCCTTGACTTACAATGTTTCGAGTTGCAGTGTTTCACACTTACAAGGTTTATAAATTGACACCCTGTTTCAACTTTATGACATCAGTTTCGACTTTACAATGCCTGATCCGATGCGACGCCACACCAGCGAATGAGTTCGCTGAGTTGCTCATCTCCGTGGAGAACATCTGTCCAAACTTCCTTGGACATTTTCTTTAAGAAAGCAGACAAGACTCCAGAAAAACCTGCAGCCAAGACTCCTGAGAAGCCTCCAGCCAAGAACCCTTCAAAAAGTCCAACCAAGAGCCTTTCAAAAAGTTCAGCAAAGTGACCTCAAAGAAGTCCTTCCAAATCAATATGATTGCTGTTTACAATATAAATACATTCATGTAGCTATATTACTCATCTATAATTGATCGAGTACAAAATTCTGGGGAATTTTTGTTAAAAACGGTATCGGACCTTGGTTCAGGAACCAATCCCCCCTTTATAGCATTGTTTCTTATGAGAAAATTGGTTCCAAGCTGCAACGTTTTGACTTAAGACGCGGTTTTCAGGAACCAATTGTGTCGTAAGTCCAAGGACTGCCTGTACTTAAAATTGAAAGTAGGTTGTTCTGTCTAAAATCATGGAGCAGAATATGGAGCGAAGGTCCTCATGGCAAGAGACAGTGGCTAAAATGACATCTATTTTCAGGTTGCAGTGGAGGTAGCGTGATTATTCCCCAAGGATTTGTTAAAATGGGAAATTCATAGGGAAATTAATTTAAAATTGATAGGGTATGATTTTTAAAGCAAAATAACTACTTTGCACTGGACTCCTGCTGAGGGTTGAGTTTAGGGGGTTTACGCAGCCAGTCAATGAGAGCTGTAGGGAGAGAAGGAGTACCAAGTATCAGTCTTACGGCACACAAGCTGCTGTTCCTGCTCAGGCTGCATCCCCGGCTCTATTGTTGTGGCACCCCAGTTAAATCAATGCCTGGGGCCTATGTTCCACTCACACACCCCTTGTTACTGCCAGCAGGGCTGTAATGGGATTCCCTCATCCCAGAAGCATGGGTTGCCATAACAGGAAGCATTGAGGATTGTGTTAGGGAGAAAAATCCCAAGGCAGAACTTTTGGATGAGAGTTTTTAAAATCTACTAATTAGCAATAACTCCTGCATCCAAACTTACTGTCGCTGTCGGTGGAATATTAAGGGGCCATCCAAACCTCAGTTGTACAAAGGGGGAGAGCCAGGGAGGAAAGGCTGAAGGAATGGAGAAAATGTTTGGTTTTAGACGAGTCGTAAGAAATGCTTATTTTTGTTGAATAAAAAAATTGATTCCTAAATCAACCTTGTGCTTTCAAATAAAGAGTAGGCAAAATGATCAAACTCCTTTGTGGCATTTGAACAATTTTTTGTTTGTTTTTTCTTGCATTATTTTTCCTCCTTTAATGTTGAGATGTTAATGGCTAATAATTTTCCAGTTTTGTTTTTGTTCCAGAATACAGATTATACCCCAGGTACATGGTGCAGAACAGATGTGCACTTGGAAAATCCAGAGTATCACACCAGATGGTATTTTAAATATTTCCTAGGAAAAGGTAATTAAACTTTTGTAAGTAGCCTTAAATAATTGTAATTATTTAGAAGTGCATGGTATGAACTTTAATTGTATTAAGGAGACTTGAACAGTGTTGTATAGAAGGTGGACTGGCAGACCATATCAGGCCTGTGTCTCAAAGTCTTTATAATCTGAAGACATACCACATACAATTATAGAAAATTAGGGTTGGAAGGGACCTTAGGAGGCCACCTAGTCCAACCCCTTGCTCAAAGCAGGACTGTCCCCAACTAGATCATTCCAGCCAGGGCTTTCTTGAGCTGGGCCTTAAAAACCTCGAAGGATGGACATTTCACAGCCTCTCTAGGTAACCTGTTCCAGTGCTTCAAAAGCTCCTAGTGAGAGTGTTTTTTTCCTAATATCCAAGCTAAACTTCCCTTGCTCCTGCTGGAGACCGTTGCTCCTTGTTCTGTCATCTGCCACCGCTGAGAACAGTCCAGCTCCATCCTCTATGGAACCCTTCTACAGGGACTTGAAGGCTGCTATTAAATGCCCCCCTCAGTCTTCTCTTCTGCAAATTAAATAAACTCAGTTCCCTCAGCCTCTCCTCAGAAGTCATGTGCCCCAGCTCCTAATCATTTTTGTTGCTCTCCGCTGGACTCTCTCCAACCTGTCCACATCCTTTCTGTAGTGGGGAGCCCAAAACTGGATACAGGATTTCAGATGTGGTCTCATCAGTGCTGAATAGAGGGGAAGAATCAGTTCCTTCGATCTGCTGGCAGTGCTCCTGCTCATGCAGCGCAGGATGCCGTTAGCCTTCTTGGCAACAAAAGCACTTTGTTGGCGCGTATTCAGCTTACTGTCCAGTGTAACCCCCAGGTCATTTTCTGCAGAGCAACTGCTTTGCTGGTTGGTCCCAAGCCTGTAGTGGTACATGGGATTCTTTTAGCCTATGTGCAGGACTTTGCATTTGTCCTTGCTGAATTTCATGAGATTTCTTCTGGCCCAATCCCCCAAATTGTTGAGGTCTCTTTGAATCTTAGCCCTACCCTTCTACATATCTACTACTCCCCCAAGCTTGGTGTGTCATCTGCAAACTTGCTGAGGGTGCACTCCATCACATCTTCCAGATCGTTAATGAAGATATCGAACAAGACAGGCTCCAGGACCAACCCCTGGTGCACTCCAGTTGATACCAGCTTTCAACTAGACCTCGAGCCATTGATCACTGCCTGTTGAGACTGACGATCCAGCCTGCTTTCTATCCACCTTACAGTCCATTAATCCAACCGGTACTTCCTCAGCTTGCTTGCAAGAATGCTATGGGAGACAGCATCAAAAGCCTTGCTAAAGTCCAGGTATATCAACGTCCACTGTTCTTCCCACATCTACAGAGGCATTCATCTCGTCATAGAAGGCAATCAGATTGGTCAGGCATGACTTGCCCTTGGTGAACCCATGCTGACTGTTCCTGATCAATCACTTTCTTCTCCAAGTGCTTAGAAATAGATTTCTTGAGGACCTGGTGCATAATTTTTCCAGGGACTGAGGTGAGGCTGACAGCTCTGTAGTTCTCTGGACCCTCCTTCCCTTTCTCAAAGATGGGCACTATGTTTGTACTTTTCTAATTGTCTGGGACCTTCCTTGATCGCGCCAGATTTTCAAGGACAACGGCCAGCAGCTTTGCAATCACATCAGCCAACTCCCTCAGCACCCTTGGGTGCATTGCATCCAGCCCCATGGACTTGTACACATCCAGCTTTTCTGAATAGTCCCTGATCTGTTCTTTCACTGCTGTTCTCTGCTTACGTTTTCCCCAAACTGTGCTGCCAGGTGCAGTAGTCTGGGGGCTGATGTTGCTTGTAAAGACCCGAGGTAAATAAAGGCACTGAGTGCTTCAGCCTTTTCCTCATCTGTCACTAAGCAACCTCTCCCATTCAGTAAGGGACCCATCCTTTCCCTGACCTTCCTCTTGTTGCTAATGTGCTTGTAGAAATCCTTCTTGTTACCCTTAATGTCCCTTGCTAGCTGTGACTCCAATTGCACTTTGGTCTTCCTGATTTCATTCCTGCATGTCCGAGCAATATTCTTATACTCCTCCCTAGTCACCTCCAAGTTTCCACTTCTTGTAAGCTTCCTTTTTGTGTTTTAGCTCACCAGAGAGTTCTCTGCTAAGCCAAGCTGGTTTGTGTCCCTGCCATATTTGCTATTCTTGCTGTACATCAGAATGGTTCATTCCTTCACCTTCAGTAAGGTTTCTTTAAAATACAGCCAGCTCTCCTGGACTCCTTTCCCCCTCATATTGGCTTCCCATGGGATCCTGTCCATCAGTTCCTGGAGGGAGGCAAAGTCTGCTTTTCTGAAGTCCAAGGTCCCTACTCTTCTGCTCTCCTTACTTCCTTTTGTCAGGATCCTGAACTCAATCATCTCGTGTTTGCTGCTGCCTCAGTTGCCATCTACTACTACATTCCCCCATCAATTCTTCCCTGTTTGTGAGCAGGTCAAGAAGAGCACAGCACACAAGAAGAGCATGGCCCCTAGTTGGCTGCTCCAACACTTGCACCAGGAAGTTGTCACCGACACTCCCAAAAACTTCCTGGATTGCCTGCAGACTGCTGCATTGCGTTCCCAGCAGATGTTAGGGTGATCAAAGTCCCCCTTGAGAACCAGGGCCTGTAATCGGGAAACTTGCGCTAGCTGTTTGAAGAAAGCCTCATCTACTACTTCTTCCTGGTCTGGTGGCCTATAGCAGGACCGACACCCCCCCCTCTCCCCCCCAGTCATCCTTGTTGCTTTCCCTTCTAAGCTTAACCTAGAGACTTTCAACAGACCTATCTCTAGCTTCATACTGGAGATCTGAGCAATCATATGGCTCTTTTACATAAAGCACAACTCCTTTCTCTTCTCCCCTGCCTGTCCTTCCTGAACAGTTTGTACCCATCCCATAAATACAGTTCGGGGGACACACAGAGCAGTATGTTGTCACAGCAACTAATTATTCACTGTACAGACTATACAGCATGAACTTCTAAAGCTGAGGCTTCACTAGGTAGGGTGAATCCTAAAATTTGCAAAGTCTTGTTCATAGATTCATAGGTTCATAGATGCTAGGGTCGGAAGGGACCTCAATAGATCATCG